CACTCACTTGTGTTCTGAAACGCTTTTCAACTGATGAAAAGCTGACCAGATCAGTGTGTGTGTGTGTGTGAGATATTGATTTAATTAATGGTGAACATGATCAGATCACAGAAGCACTGAATCTGTTGCTCATGTTCTGTATCATCAGCTCAATCTCAGCAGCTGTTATGTTTTATTAGTGTGATTCTGTTTGATCAGATCTGGTTTGTTGATGTTGCTGGAATATTATGATATTTTATTATATATGATGTTAGTGTTGAGGTTACTGATGTGATGCATGTGTCTGAACAGCATTACATGCGCCCTCTGCTGGACGATGATGATGATGATGATGTGTGTGTGTTTGTGTGTGTGTTTCTCAGCCGAGGCTCTGGACGTGGGCGAGTATCTGGAGATCTCTGGGATCATTCGATCTCAGGCCGGACGTTACGAGTGTAAAGCGAGCAATGACGTCTCCGCTCCTGATGTCAAATATGTCAGCGTAGTGGTTAACTGTGAGTAGATGTTTGAGATCAGACCGAGTTTCTCATCCTGTGTGTGAGATCACCGAAGGCCCAACAGGCTGAGGTGCCCGCCAGGTCCCAGACTGTGTGTGAGATCAGACTGTGTGTGTGATCCGACTGTGTGTGAGATCAGACTGTGTGTGAGATCAGACTGTGTGTGAGATCAGACTGACGTGTGTGAGATCAGACTGTGTGTGTGAGATCAGACTGTGTGTGAGGTCAGACTGTGTGTGTCTCCACAGCCCCGCCGTACATTAAGGAGGTGCGGAGCTCCGAGACGCCGGTGGGACAGACTGGAGTCCTGCACTGCGAGGCGTCTGCGGTTCCTCAGCCTGAGTTTGAGTGGTACAGAGACGAGCGCAGGTCAGTCACCCAAAGAACACAGATTATTCCCAGAACGTTCCCAAAACATGCACGATAGAATGCAAATAGAATGTAATACAAATAGAATGTTCTTTTTAGTTTGCAGATCATTCCCTTAACTTTTAGCTAACATTCTGCTAACATTTCTCTAACCTCTGTTCTCAATATCATTTCCTCTGCGGTACGTCAGTAATCATGCAGCCCATACAGCAAAAAATATATATTTTCTAATGTTTTTTTAAATATATTTCAATATATATATATATATCTCAAAATATTTGGCCATTTTTTATATTTTAAAAAATATATTTTAAATATATAAATATAGTTTTGAAGCATTTAAAAATATATTTTGCCCTCCATATATTTTAGTCCAAGAAAATACATTCACATTTCACATTTAAAGAAAAATCCAGTAACTTAATTTTTTTACACAGACACATTTGAATGTGTTGTCAGTGTTGTGTGTGTGTTTATCAGACTGTCCAGCTCTCAGAGCATCAGTATTCAGATCAGCGGCTCTCGCACGCTGCTGGTGGTCGCTAACGTCACAGAGAACGATTATGGAAACTACACGTGTGTCGCCACCAACAGACTGGGAATCCACAACGCCAGCGTGTTCCTCACACACACACACACACACACACACACACTCACACTCACACTCACACTCACTCACATACACACACACACACACACACACACTCATATTTAATGGTCTCCAGGTGAGCAGGAATGCTGTGTATAAAGTGTATCACTGGTGTGACTGTGTATTTATTGGTGTGATTGATTATTTATTGATTTGGTTGTGTATTTATTGGTGTGTGACTGCAGCATCAGTGAGATGCGACGGCAGCGATTCATCACACACTTCTTTTGTAAATGAGCAACAGACTCCGACTTCCCCAGGATGACCTTTCCATCAGTCGCTGAAGTCCAGAGCACTTACAGACTTACACACAGAAACACATTTCATGTCAGATCTCGACTGTGTGCTGCTTCCAAAAACCAGCCAATCCACAACAACACTGCAAGCAGCATAAACCACGACTCCTCACATCAGCCTGTGCTGATACTTCAGACAGATCGTTCATAAAGAAATATCACAGCAACCACAACATCTCAGCAACATCTAGGGATGGGCGACTTGGACTTAAAAAGATTTCACTATATTTTCTGGTATTTATAGTGATAACGATATCAATGACGATAGTTCATATGCATCCACTGAGAAACAAAAAAACCCTCCTGTTTCTTTAGAGAGAAGTATTGTCTTTCCTATGTTTACCAAAAATAGGGTGCTGTGAGCACACACGTAATGTAATGTTTCATTCATACTGGACTCCAGAGGGCGCCCTCGAGCATAAACTCCACATATGCATCACAGAAGTAATAGAACTGATCAAACATGTAGACAAACACATGATTTTGACAATATATGGTTTATCTGTGCCCTCGATGATTTCTGCCTCATTCTGTGATTTGAAACCACGTCTGGTCACAAAAAGAAGTTATTTCAAACAATCGACTGATGATATGAAGTGAATCTGGAGTAAAAGTATGACAATAAATCTCTTTGTTGGACAACAGGTTTGTAAACGGGCTCATACACATGCAAAGCTTTATCACACACGTGCTTCTGTAGTACATTTATTCATTGCACAGACCGATTTTGTTTTGCTGCACTGTACAGTCCTGAGCAAACCAGTTCTAGACTGTAGAAGGAGCGATAAACTCCTCAGTTTCACGTCAGCCTTCCGCACCGTCGCACACAGAAATATGTCAACAATAAGACGCCCCATTCATCATATTGGGCTCTCTCTGCTCTCCACCCGGAGGGAGATGGTAATTAAAGCCAAAATGCCAAATGATGCTTGGCTAAGCACAATTACAGACAGCACTGCTGCTAAATTTAGAGCCCATCTTCAGCTAAAGGGGCCATTTACTGCGACTGCTGCGCTCACAGCGGTCCTCCGCTGCAATAAGACGAGCTGGTGTGTCGGCTCAGGGAATTAGAGCGTTTTGTAGGACAGTTGAACAGACTATAGCGAGGCAAAATAGACACAAAATGTCACCTTTCCACATCGGTCTCGCCCCCCGGTGCTCAAAAACGAGCATTCTGGCTTCATAGCACGCAAGGAGGAGTGTGAAATGAGGCTGTGCTCGCTCCTTAATCTCTGGGGCTTGTCCACGGCATAACGCTGCGGGATAATTCGCCGTTATCCGACAGAGAGGGATGGAAAATAAGGTGCTTATGAAAATGAATGATGCTTCTCCCTTTGGCTTCTGCCAAGCGGCGTTTTTAAAAGGTGAAAGCTATAAAAGATTGAGTGAATGGAAGACAGGAGCAGGAGGCAGAGGAGGATGCGTTATATAATCTGCTCGCTGTTGTCGTGTGGATGCGGAGCCAGTTTCTGCACTGGCATGAGCAATCTATGGACGCCTGTTCCCACCACGGAATAAAAACTGTCCAAAAAAGCTACCTTTCATCTCTCAAGTCTGACTTTTTCATGCAATTCTTTTTTCTTGCAATTGCGAGTTTACTCTGACTTTTTTCAGAATTGTGAGAAACAAACTCGAGATGTAAAAAGATATAAAGTCCAATTTTGAGGGAAAAAGGCTTATATTTTCTTGCAATTGCGAGTTTAAATCTCGCAATTCTGACTTCTTTTCTCATAATTGTGAGATACAAACTAGCGATTGCGAGTTATAAAGTCCAATTCTGAGGAAAAAAGACGACATATTTTTTTGCAATTGCAAGTTTATATATCCCATTTCTGACTTTTTTCTCACATTTGGACTTTTTTCAGAATTGTGAGATATAAACTCGAGATGTAAAGAAATATAAAGTCTTATATCTTGCATTTCTGACTACTTTTTATCATAATTGTGAGATATAAACTAGCAATTGCAAGTTATAAAGTCCAATTCTGAGGAAAAAAGAAGACATATTTTCTTTTTTATTACAATTTATATAATTACAGTTTATATCACGCAACTCTGAGAAAAGTGTAAAACCTGTGAGATAAAAAGTCGCAGTTGCCTTTGTAATTTTCATTCAGTGGTGGAAACGGGCTTCCATAGAAAGCTGCTGCTGCTTTAATCCGATACAGAGAAAAACACTGACTTCCTCTAATCACATTCTTCATATAAGTACAGCAGAACTGAACAATCTTTCAGGCTTTAATAAAGCCAAATCATCTGTCCAAAGCAGAAACATAACGCAATAACATCTGCATTATCAACAGCAGTGAAGAACATCCAGCAGTCTGGTCTTTACTAGTAATTCACTGTTTACCCACAGCAGTGATTTCAGGCCCTTCAGGTGAACATTAGGCTGGATGGCGCTGGAGGTGATGTTCCTCTGTTGCTGGACTGACAGTGAATTACGGGTGACAAGACCTAATGATCTGCTGCCAGGAAGGACACAAATCAAAGGAGACGCTGATGGTCTGCTGTGCATGTGGAGATGCTCATGTCTGACCCCAGCATGCAGTGCTACCATAACCTTCAGGCCTCTCACTGACGAGCACACAGCTCACCTTGAAGGACTCCATGTCTGAGAGCAGGCAGGCGCTCTGCATGCGGGCGCGGAGGTGCGCTCCTTCAGCCGACGTGCCCAGTTTGGCCAGAACCTCCGACTGCTCCTCCAGCAGGTCTTCAGTCATGGGCGCAGGCTCCTGCGGCACAATAATAACAGTTATGACACGATCCACTCGATCTCACTGATGAAAAATTAACATTTGCAATTTAGCAGATTCTTTTATCCAAGGTGATTTACAATAGAGGAGCATAAGAGCCACACAGGATTCACAGCATTTAGTGCCACGTTTAGAGATGAGAAAAAACCGAGCAGAAGAGAAGTGCTGTTTTTGTTTACTGTTGTTTTGCCAGTGCATTGGTTTAGGGTTGCGGGGTGGAAAAGCTGTGATGGTTTCGTCAGTCCTGATGGAGGTTTGCAGGAGCAGAGAGGGTGAAGGTTATGTAATAAATGAACATAAAGAGTTGAGAATGAAAACACGTGTGTAACAGTGAATTGGATCCGTGTGGCTCTTAAAGTGACAGCAGCTATATTCCTGCTGCCGCCTGTGTGCTTAATATTAATCAAACAAGACAAAGAAAATCACTCACTGCTCTTGACTGAAGAACTTTTGTAGCTTTAATAAGAAACAAAGAAAGTTTCATTCTTACAGTGAAGACTATGCTGTTTATTTTACATTAGATTACTCAATTTCTGTAGTAGGCTGATAACTGAATACTTTAGACTAAAAGCACAGTTTGTTTCATTTGTATCTTTTATTCTATTGTATTTGTCCTTTGCTTTTTATTACTGACAGTTTAATTATTTTCAATAATTTTGAGTACTTTGTTTTTTTTTTTTTTTTACTATATTGTTCCATCCTAACAAACCATAAATCAATGGAAAGATTATTTATTCAGCTTTCAGATGATGTATACATCTCAGTTTCATAAAATTGACCCTTATGACTGGTTTTGTGCTCCAGGGTGTTGAGAATTGTGGCATTTCGCTGGTATCTAAAGTGTAGATGTCATAGCAACCTTATTTACAGAAAATACATATTTGATATATATCGCTATCTTTAAATAAATCATTCATATAAAGTTTTGGTCATATGGCCCACTCATAATCATGTTAAATAATCGTGATTACAATATTGACCAAAATAATCGTGATTATGATTTTTGTCCTAATCGAGCAGCCCTAGGTGAAGGTTCTGGAAAACACCTTTGTGCCTCGTTGTGAAGGAACAACAAGGTGCCGCTTGCCCTGTTCAACAGCTTCATTTCTCCTATGAAAACATTAAACTAAACAAAGAAGTAATCTGATGTCACAAACTATTATGGATCGTGCTGACATCATCTACAACCAAGAAGGCCGGAAGTGATGATTATACTAAATATGGTGCAGCTCCATGACCTTCATGATTTAAAGAGTCTGTTCAGCCATACAGATGAAAACACACAAACAATGTAGCTCCTCAGAAACAGTTGTGGTTGCAACAAAGTGGTTGCCGAGCAACAGACAAACGTAAACAAAGGTGTATGTTACTTTGTAGAGTCATTTACAACAGCTTCGAACGTGGCTCAGCCAATCAGAATCAAGGCCCGGAACTATCTGTTTTATAAACACACACAAACACTCACCCGGAGGAAATCACAACCCAGCGTAAAGAACAGGGAATGAATTTGTCTGCTTTAATCCAATAAAGACTGTGGAAGAGTTTGAGACGTATGTTGTTGTCACGTCTCGTATAACAGCACTGATGTTACGAACGCTGGTTTCAAACAGCATGTTTTATCTTCCTGCACTCAAACAAGCCTCTCTCCTGTTTTCCAGAGCAATCTTAACACCATCTCGTTGTGCTCCACCACAGCAAACCCCTGTGAGAGTTTCTCCACTCATCTGCTCTCACACGCGCCTGTCGTAAACAACTGCTCTCATCACAGGCTTATTCAATCACACACAATGCTATCTAGTTTATGGACACTGAACGTCTTTCCTGACATATTGTTCACAATTTGTTTTATTGACGTCTTTCCGCAGTTGAAACATGATTCATGTTTAATTTCAGTGAGTTGTTATGTTTCTTCTGCTGTTCATTCATGTTTATTTGCTGCTGTAACTAGTAGTAAAGCGGAAGAGATGATCGCTTCACTACAGCATCTGTCAGCCACAAACCAGCATATTGATTGCATTTAGTGATAAAATGGACATAATTTCAATTCTGAGACTTTGTTTCATATCAAAAGTAACAAAGCACAAAACTTACTGCGATTATTGGATGGCAGAAGTTACAAATGATGTTTAGTGAAGTTTTGTTCATGCATCAACTGAAAACTAAACAGACTAAAAGATTGATATTGGGTTCAAATAAATAAATATCAGTTCATCAAAATGAAGATCACTTAAAAAAATGAGAAATGGAAATTGTTAATCCAGCACTGGCATCACACATGTTCACCTGTTGCAGTTTATCCACGTCGTGAGCACGATATAGATGCTAACACAGTCAATGTTTTCCCTCAAAAATCAATGTTCAGTTACTGATATTTCGGTGCATCACTAAGAGAGACAACACTTAAACAGCACAACAATTAAAGGCACTGAACGATGAGCTGAGACTCATTAGACGTCAAGTGACAAGATGATGAAGATGAAGACGCAGGTCAAATGTGAGAACACAGAGACAGACTGAGAAGTGCAGCTGCAGAGAAACACTGGTTGTCCATCAGCGATCTGTGACAGATGAATTAATTATTCATCATGTGACTGACTCCAGAGAGGACCGCAGAGGCCAGAAACACACTCCAGTATGAGGAGCACCAGAAGAGCGCTGTGAAGCGACGTGTGTTTGAGGCTGCTGTTCTGCAAGTATTATTTACATTAATTTCCCCATAAGGAAACCCTTATTTAAGAGTTATATAACACATGAACCAAACCAACCAGCTATAAGGAGAATCACAAATCACAATAAATGCGCATACAGAAATCGAGAAGCAGAATCGAAATTTAATTTTATAAGAAGTAATTCGATTCCTGACCTTACGCATCTGATCTGATTTCCGAAATTGGAATAGCTTTTAGATTCCCAACCCTTCTAATAAATTGTTTCATTCTTGCATGCAAAAAGGCCTGTATGGTGACTATGGGGCTATGTAAAATATTTTTTGCAACTTACTAGGTTTATAATTTGTCATTTTTTTCCGATAATGTCGATAATCGTCTGTTACCTGACTGTTGACATCGACATCGCGATACTTACGAGACATCGTCGATATACGATAATACCGTCATATCGCCCAGCCCTTGTGTCTACTTGATACTTTCTCATTTAACACAAAAATAGCTTTAAATAATCTATTGTGGGTATTTTTACTGTCAAATTTATTTTGTGATCAATTAGATTAATTAATAGAAACATCATGTAATTAATTAGATTAAAATTTTTAATCGACTGACAGTCCTAATATATATACTGTATATATACACACAATGGTTTCTTGCAGCAAACCAAGAAGCAAATGCAATACGCTTGCTGCTATTCTCTGATTGGTGGAATTTTCTGTAGCATCATGGGAAATGTAGTTTTTCAGCTCAAATTCAGCTGTTAAACGATGATTCTAAAGATAAGTTGTAGTAATGTAAACAGACGGGTTCAGCACAAGCATTCTCTAAGCAGCCCTGACCTGTGTGACGGGGATGAAGAGCGGCTCCGCTGAGTTCAGAAGAGTCCGCTTGCCATGCGGCTGCAGGCGACCTTCAGCTTTGCTCTTACTGGCCGTCTTTTTCTCGCTCTCAGTCTCCTTCATCTCCTCCGTGTCGCTCAGACACTCGAAGAACTCCTCCTCGCTGTCGCTCCACGAGTCCCAGGACTTCCCCGGAGAAACCTCGGCGGGCCCCGGGAGGCTCCTGGCTGCGTCTGACGCGCCGCTCTTCCTCCCATCATCCCTCGCTCGCTTGCGCTCGATGCAGCAGTTCAGCATCTGATGGGTGCACAGCCACATTAAACACACAGAAACATTTCTCAAGAAGTCTCGTCTGCTCACCAAGGCTGCATTTATTTGATCAAAAATACAGTAAAAATTGCGAAATATTATTATGATTTAAAATATCCAGTGTTGCACAATATTTTTGTGGAAACTGTGATACATTTTATTTTTCAGGATTCACAGAATAGAAAGTTCAAAAGAACAGAATGTATTTGAAATAGAAACATTTTGTAACATTATAAATGTCTTTGCTGTCACTTTTGATCAATTTAATGCGTCCTTGATGAATAAAAGTGTTAATTTGTACTGACCCCAGACTTTTGAACAGTAATATATTATAAACAATCATTTACTTGCTCTCATGTCGTTCTCCTGTGTGACTTTCTTTCTTCCAACACTGAATCCCATTATTAATAAAGTACATTTTGATTTAATGTCGACTTTAACTAGATATAATGTGCCTGCTTTCAATCATTTGTAAGAATAATCAAAATAATGTCTGTGGAAAAATGAAATACAACCAATGGACAAATTTACAGTATAGTCAGATAAAAAAGTAGAAGAGATTAATATTTTTCATCCAAGAAATCTAACTGCTTAAAACACATTTGTTTTCAATTTACAGCCAACTTTAGTTCATACCGTGCATAACGCTGGAACTGAAGTTAAAATGATGATATTTTCACAAACAGGTTGAGTTCAGCTATTAATTTCAATCTGACAAAGACTGTCTGATTTTACACGTCCATCACGTGTGTTTGAGGATGCTCACCCAAGTGCACTTCCATGATGTACTATTGTCATGCACTAATTTTGTACTTAATATACTAAAAATTATTCTTTAGTACTTCTTTAGATAATCTTAAGAACATCTAAGCGTACTAAAATGTGCTATTTTGAGACACCGTGAATATGAACTAAAATGTGCTTTTAAAATAGCATCTCTGTATTTATAAAACGTATTTAGATACCACTTGTAGTACACTTGAACCCATCTTTCATACCCTAGTGGGTTCAAGTGTACTACAAGTGGTAACGATGCACTCAAGTACTAAAGAATATCTTTTAGTATATTGAGTACAAAATTAGTGTGTGAAAATAGTACATCATGGAAGTGCAGTTTTCCCCAGACGTGATGGTATACAGCGAGGATCCCGGCGGTGGAGCTTCACCTGCAGTTTCTGATGAAGAAGACAACACCTGAGATCCGGAGCTCCGCTGGCCAGCCTGAGAGAGCAACACAGAGGCGTTCATTACACAATCAGGCAGACGCTTCGCTCGTTAGCACACAAAGACGCCAGCAGCCGCAGAGCGCGGGGTTATCGTTATCAATGCCTGCAGCTCGCTCCCTACAGACTCTGGTACAACAACACTACACCAGCGTCATTCATTCACAGCACAGCGGCAGGAGTACAGACTCGAACCCCGAGCGCGAGCACAGACCCCTGCGCCACGCCTCTGAACTGCAGAAGGAGATAATACATATATTACAAACACTGGAAAATACATATTTTTACGTGCCTGTTATTTGGCCATTAATTGTCCTACAGACATCAGACAGGAATCGTGAGTCTGAGAGCGTTCACACACAGAAATACTAACAGTGTTTCTCATTTAAACTTCTTTAAAACTGCAACAGATTAGGCCAGTCTGATTCATTTCTGTGAATCAGAGGAGATCCAGGACAAATACACATCACTCAGACGATTACAATAATATAATAATCACTCTAACTCTAAAAGAAGTCCACAGCGCGACTATAACAATAACCACACAGACAAATGATATCGCTGGAATCTTTTTCAAAACCGTTTTTCCAGATGATGAATGATAAAAACTAGGGCTGGGTTGAAAATATAAATTTGGTTGATGAACCGATATCTATTCTTAAATCCCAAGAATCTATGCTGTTTTCAGTTCAGTTCAAAAATGTATCAAACATAATTTGTAGCTTCTGCCATCAAATAAATTGCAATAATCATTGTGTTTTGTTACTTTTGATATGAAACACAGTCTCAGCCTTGAAATTCCATCAGTTTGATCACTAAATGTGGTTTTGTGGCTCTTTATTGTGTGCTGACAGATGCTGTAGGGAAGCGATCGGCTCTTTCGCTTTACTACTAGTTATAGCAGCAAATAAACATGAACGAACATCAGAACGGAGATGATCATGATTCATCTAACAGATCAATCAGTGATTCAAATGCACCAATAACGTCACATCTACCTTAGGAAAGGCATTTAATGACTATAAACTCGATATAGTCAGCTAAAAAATAACTCTAGAGAGGAGCATTTTGATCAATATATGAAGAGTTCATTTGCAAAAACAGATATCTCCGTTTTTAACAGTTTTCAAAAATCATGTTTTTTCATTGTGCATTATAATTAATCTCAATCAAACTGCAGTCGGGTTATTTTGATTAGGTTAAAAAATAACTTAAAAATACAGCTAACTAACACAATAAAAACATGATTTTTGAAAATGTAAAAAAACTGAGTTATCTGTTTTTGCAAATAAACTCTTCATATGCACTATATATTACATATTCATTATATTTATACTGAACCTGTTCTTCAATATTTTATGTACGCTCGAATTAATCTGACATTAAATTATTTAACAAAATTTTTATTATATAATAATGTTTTGCCTTACTGCCTTACAAATCACTTTTTTATAGTAATGTACCAGTTTATTGTTTTATTAGTTAGATTTTTGTACCTGATTGCCTATAGATCCAAATGAATCGATATCGAATCAAAATGAATCAAGATCAAACGTGAATCGAATCGTGAAGTTCGTCTCAGTCCCAGCCTTAATAAAGCACTGACAGCCAATCAGAATCCAGCGACCTCCAGCATGCAAAGCAGCAGAAGCTGAAGTGTGTGTGTAATAACAGAAGGTTCTGGTCTGCTGTGAACGCGTCTCTCACCCGTAGATCAGGCAGTTGTTCTCCCAGCGGTAGCGCATCTCCAGCACAAACTCCTGCCACAGGTGAGCCACGGCGCGCACTCCTCCGTGATGGAAGTTCACCATACAGACACACAGAGCCAGACGGTACGTCAGACTGTCGCTCGGAGCCGACTTCAGCTGATTACAAAGGTGCTGCTGACAGGAGAACACCGTCACATCAGCAGCACAGAGACGTGTTCAATCCTCTGCATCTGATCCAGTGACTGACGGAGACTCACGTGATCCGGTTCCTGCGTGGATCTGACCTCGCTCCAGTCTGCTTTATCCAGAGCTGCGTCCGGGAACAGATACTGATGGACAAACACAAACACGGCAGAACAGAGGTTTATGATGCTGATGGAAAAGGGCAGAAACATCCAACCCTCCAAACCTGATGATTTTACATGACCTGCGCTTTAAAAACAGAGATGTTTGTTTACACAAACCTCATATTTCTGTCCATATCTCTCTTATGCACATACATCTCCCAAACCAGAAATCTGCATCATGGATTCTGTTATTTTCCTGTTTAATACAGTGAAGCTGCTTTGTAACAATCTCAACTGTATAAAGTGCTATAGAAATAAAGGTGACTTTGACTGTGATATGTCTAAACTGGATGCAGTAAAGCATATATATATATATATACAGTATAAGTATATATACGTATTCACCTACACGAGCCCACAGTAAAACACACAACACAAGATACACTGTTTTACTGTATTATTACCAGTATGGGAGAAAGCTACTTTGAAAAGTAATGCATTGCAATATTGTGTTACTCCATAAAAACAGTACTAACTGCATTACTTAGTTACTCTTTATGTAAAGTAATGCATTACGTTACTTTTGTGTTACTTTTCGTCACCTGAGCTGGGCTCGCTTATTTATTTTTAATTACAAAAAACCCAAGTTATATTTTTGTAAACTGTAAAGGCCCTTTCAGATCAACAGTGAAATGAAGGAAACGTCGGTCTCTGCACTCACTCCTGATTTATCAGTCAATACACGGAAAAACAAAGTAACTTGCGTTATATATTACAAAAAATAATTCGGATATCTTCTTGTACATTTAAAAATAATGTGTTACTTTACTATTTACTTGAAATAAGTGACCCTGCAGCACAAAAGCAGTCTTAAGTAGCACAAGTATATTTGTAGCACTAGCCAACAATACATTGTATGCATCAAAATTATCCATTTTTCTTTTATGCCAAAAATCATTAGGATATTAAGTAAAGATCATGTTCCATGAAGATATTTTGTAAATGTCCTACCGTAAATATATCAAAACTTAATTTTTGATTAGTAATATGCATTGCTAAGAACTTCATTTGAACAACTTTAAAGATGATTTTCTCAATATTTAGATTTTTTTGCACCCTCAGATTCCAGATTTTCAAATAGTTGTAACTCAGCCAAATATTGTCCTATCCTAACAAACCATACATCAATGGAAAGCTGATTTATTCAGCTTTCAGATGATGTATACATCTCAATTTCGAAAAATTGACCCTTATGACTGGTTTTGTGGTCCAGGGTCACAAATGTAATCACATATTACTTGATAAGGTGTTACTCTCAACACTAGTCTGCTCTGATGCATGGCCCTTCATCATCATCATCCTCACAGTGAGGCCTGTGTAAATCCCCAGCATGCTCTCACCAGCAGGATGGAGTTGAGCACGTGGTTGTGTAGCGGCGACTCCTCGGCGCGTCTGTTTCTCCGGATGCGTTTCCTCGCGCTGTGCATCATGCTGGAGACAGACAGCTTGTGTATGGGGACGGCTGCGGGCTCCGTCAGCTTGGACAGCGCTTGACTGATGTCACTGTTCTCTACAGAAACCACACCAAACATCAGCTTTATACGGTACAGACCGATTCAGAGCAGCTTCACGCAGATACACAGGAACATAACAGAATCAGTGATGCAGAGTCCGTCAAATATCATTTCAGCTGTAAGAAGAAAATCAAGTCATTTTTCAGATCAGTGAATCAAAGAATGCACACAATTAGACGGTGTTCAGTAATACGATATATCACAATAATGAGCATGCATGATATTGTTATAGTGGGCACTTGAATGCATTTTACAAAAATATCTTCTAAGCCTTTATTAATCGTTGTTAATTTCAACATTTAATAACACGTTATTAAAATCAAAAGTTTTAACTGTATTATTTAATGCACCTGAGCTAAACATGAACATTAACAAAAAAATAACTTCTGTAACAAATATTGCTCATTAGTGTTAATGCGTTAACTAAGGCTAAATAATAATTATTTTGCACTTTAATCGGCTTGAAACATTTGTTCACTTTATTTGTATTTATTACTGTATTTTCAGCTCTTTTTGTTAAAAAAGAAAACTCTTTTGAAACCCGTTACATTATTACAACACTTTTTGTAACTGTTTCAATTTCGTGATAATACCGAGTGATAAAAGCTTCAGCAATCAATGTGTTCAGATCTGACGTCTGGTGTTCGTGCTCCTCAGAATCACTCTGTGTTCATATCAACTCTGATTATTATTTCAGGAGGAATAAATGACAGATATGAATGGAAAGATCGGATCCTGAAGGACGACACCGTTATTGAACTGAATCAACATTGAACTGAATCGATCTGAATCTTCTGTTGTTAAAAGTTGTTAAAATTGATACATTTTGCAACATTAACACTTTTAAGTTCCTGTTTATCACTATGAAGCTGCTTTGAAGCAATCTGTGCTACACAGAGTGCTATAGAAAGAAACGTGACTTGATTCAGAGCGTGCTTGAAGTTTGATTCTAGTCCAGTTCATTTTAGATATCTGTGGTTAATTGATGTCTAAAACCAGACCTTTCCCTTCGTCCTCGACTGCGTTCCTCCCCAGAATCTCCTCGCTGGTCTCCGTGCGGCAGCAGAGCTTGAAGAACTCCGTGAGGAACTCACCTGAGGAGCGAGACATCATCACACTCATGCAGCTCTCAGTGCGCATGTGCTGTGTCTGTGTCAGCGTCTCCTCTTACCCAGCAAGCACTGCGGATTGTCTGCTTTCCGCACTCGAACGGACCAGTGAGGAGCCTGAAGAGGATCCAGATCTCTGAAAAACAGACGCAGAGCTGGAGTCAAACTAACATCTCCAGCGTTAAACCTGTCTGTCTGTCATAAACACCGCAAAACCTGCTGTTCTTCCTCAGTATGTCTGTCTTGTTTTCCAGTAAAAATATCTAGACATCCTTAAATCAAGATGCATTTACTGGAGAAGACTTCAGATATCAAGTCTTGTTTTCTCGTTTTAAATGCATCCAAATGCAGCGAGTTAGTAATATCTGCCAACGAGGCTTTAAAAAGAATCGCTTTGAATCAAGTTTTTCTGATTCTGACTCACTTCATTTGGATCAGTTTAGCAAAAAAACAAGACCTTTTTGCTCAAAAGTCATTTTGCTATCTGTAACGGAAAACAAGACAAAAATCATGGTAAAACTCACTCAAACCCTTTATGTGTAATGCATCATAGAGGCATAATAATGTACGCAGTAATGCACTGCATTGTTTCATAAATGATTGCCCTAGTAAAAAAGTAATATATTTAAAATACATTTATTTCATACTAAGTGTAGTTCAAATCTATTAACATATTCACTGACATATCACTCGAGACTTACAGATTTTAATTAAACTGTATTTTGAGTCCTACTTGTGCACAATGCACGTTTCTTATTAATAAGCCTAAAATGTGTTTTAATGTCACTATTGATGAGGATTGTATGATCTTTGAATAATATCGGTCTTAGTGCACCTAAAGTGTACTTGCAATAGTTTCACTTTAGCACAATTAAATATACTTCAGTATATCTTTAGTTGGACTTGTGCACAATTAAAGTGCATTAAGCACAAAATTAGTTGGTTCTGATTTAGCAGACTTGAAGTATACCAGTTTAGTACACTAAAACTACAATTGCAGGACATTTTATTAAGCACATAAATATGTAAATGTATTTGTAGTATACTTAGCATGAAATAAATGTATTTCAAATACATTTTAGTATATTTATTTTTCACTAGGGTGTAACCAAAGTTAAAATGCTTTGTAATATTTGAAGGTTTGTTTATCGTGTCTTTCTAAAGGCGTAACAATGAACAGATAAGTATTATAATATATTGTACTGTAGTTACAATTATTCATGAGATCATGCAATGCATCATAATGTTCTTTACAAAGCATAAGTACCCTAGTGAAAAATAAATATACTAAAATGCATTTGAAATACATTTATTTTATGCTAAGTATATCACAAATACATTTTCATATTTATGTGCTTAATAAAAATACCCTGCAATTGTACTTTTAGTGTACTAAACTGGTATACTTCAAGTCTGCTAAATCAGAACAACTAATTTTGTGCTTAATGCACTTTAACTGATATGTCACTAAATATGTTAATAGGTTTGAAATATACTTAGTTTTACTTTTTTACTAGGGTAATGCACTCATATGATTATAACGCAATAAATATAAAGGCTTTAAGTGTTTTTTTTTTTTTTATCGTGTGAGCAAAAGCTAAATGAAGAGTGTGAGTGAGAGCCGTCCGCTGTCTGCTCGAGAACACTTCTGTTCATCTGCTTCAGAAAGCTGTCGCTCTCCTTCAGAAGTGAGAGCTGACGATCAGCACAAGCTCACACGCCAGAAAACAGCAGCGAGCGTTAATGTGACGCTACGGCTCGCCAGCAGCACTACACTAAAAGGCGTAAAATAATGCCTCCTCTCCGGAGCTGTGAAGAATCATGAAGGGTGACAGGTTCCTCAGGAGCTGACGAAACATGCATCTCGTGCTTCATGCATATTCATGAATTACTCAGTCCTATAAAAAAGCCATTAGAGCGCCGTTCTATTTTCATCATCCGAGGAGCACAAAATGTCTCTTTCACAAAAGCGAGTGTGTGTGTGTGTGTTCTGTGAGCTTCTGAAGGAACACTTACGAATAAACATCGTTATCCACCACGATTCCCTCCGTCAGGTTCGGCCAGGTGGTTGCCAGATGAAGTTCGCTGAAAGAGCGGAGAGAGATAATATTCACATTATTAACCAGTCTGCAAGAAATGAAGATTTGAGAAGATTATTCATGTATGTTTCGGTTTATAACATCTGAGCTGAATGAGTCTCTTTAATCACTCATAAACATAGCCACTATATGTTCGCGCGAATCATTCATGATCCAGCCTCATCTACAGAAGAAGTGAGTATGTTTTGTAATGAATCTTTGCAAATCGCCATAATGTGCTAATTAGCAAGTTTCACGATGAATGCAGCTAAAGTTAACAGTCTCTCTGAGAGCAGCTCAGGAAGAGAGGGGCGGGGTCAGCAGAGCTCATTAACATTTAAAGGAAAATGCTACAAAAACGGCTTGATCTGAAAAGAGCTGTTTTTGACAGGGTAAAAAAGGTGTTTTTTACACTACCATTGAGAAATTTTAACCAAACTATGTTACAGACTTTTCATTAAGACCCTAAAGAATCATATCAACTTGTGGAAAATGGGCATCCTATGACCCCTTTAAGACCAAGTGGTAACCAGTCCTACTTTCCAGATTCAAATTAGACCAATATACCTTTTTATGGAACTAAATTGACAAATTTATGACTAGTCTTGAAGGAAAAAATTAGTTGACTAACTTTTAAGACTTTATATATATATACTGTTTGGTTTCCAGCATTTGAAATTTTTGGGTGAACTGTCCCTTTAAAGTGTGAAGCGGTCTTATTTTAGCATCATCAAGATCCTATTATAGTTTTTATTAATATTCTGAAATAGATTTTATTTTTAAATTTTGTTTCACTTTATTTTTGATTAAAGTTTATTAATTTCGTTGTGCATTTTTTGTCAATACAGTTTTTATACATTTTTATTTGAGTTATTTTAGTAGATGGAGTTAAAGTTTATTTTATTTCAGGTAAATGTGATTTCTGAGGATTAATTGCCGGCGTGACCTTCACCTGATGGGATCTTCACACGCTCCGAAGGGAAGTTTTCCGAACTCCACGCCGCCCACCTCTCCAGCGAGGAGCGCATCGAAGTCTGAAACCACACACAGCCTTCCTGTGATATTAACTCGTGATCAAAGTCATATAGAAGTTAATCAACTCAGGATATACGTGGAATATTATGATCTGCCTGTGTCAACAGCTTCTTAATACAGAGGTAAACACTCAGAGCCGCGAATGCGCTGAGGAGCGAGATATTGACAGAGATGTTCTGATCCGCACACACGGATCCATGGAAACAGAGAAAGATTCGCTAGTGTATCAAATACAACTTGCACACTCGCCGGGAAACAGGCCAGATCACCACAGAACCACAGTAATAATGCGATGAACGGCAGGACAGAAAGAGAAACAGCCGTCACAGTGACGCAGAAACAGATGTGTGACCCTGGAGCACAAAACCAGTCATAAGGGCCAATTTTTTTAAATTGAAAGCTGAATAAATAAGCTTTCCATTGATGTATGGTTTGTTAGGATAGGACAATATTTGGCTGAGATACAACTATTTGAAAATCTGGAATCTGAGGGTGCAAAAAAATCTAAATATTGAGAAAATCATCTTTAAAGTTGTCCAAATGAAGTTCTTAGCAATGCATATTACTAATCAAAAATTAAGTTTTGATATATTTACGGTAGGAAATGTACAAAATATCTTCATGGAACATGATCTTTACTTAATATTCTAATGATTTTTGGCATAAAAGAAAAATGTATAATTCTGACCCATACAATGTATTGTTGGCTATTGCTACAAATATACCCCAGCGACTTAACACTGCTTTTGTGCTGCAGGGTCATATATCATTCGTTCGGACCACAGACAGGGTTTCTGCAGGCTAAGACTTTGAGAACTTTTTAAGACCAGCCAAAGAAAATAAACTGAAGGGAACACAATACATTCATGATCTCTAATGTCTAAGTCTGAGTGTCTTAAATGTCTAAGGAGAACACAATGAGTTAGAAACATTTTAAAAAATACAACTTCCAAAAGATCTTTTTAATTAATTTTACCAAAAAAAAAAAAAAAAAAACCTTAAGGTTTGCATAGCTCTGCTCCCCATTTACTAGAATATGGAGATATTTTACTGTCCCTGCAAAAAGTGCTGTTTTTCCTCTGTATTTTTCTCATTCTCCAGCACAAACAACTCAAGATTCTTAAATTAAGACACATTTAAACAAAATGACAGATAAGGCATCTTGTTTTATGAGAAATTGATCAAAATCAAGTGAGTTTGTGATTAAAATAGAAACAAATATCAGCCAAAATCAACTTCATTCAAAAGGAAAACAAGTTCCCTATCAATATTTCACTCGTACTGCGTCTGCTAAGACGCTATGGGGAAAAACTCCTTTTTCTCCGATGACTGAAGCCTTTTTCAATAACGCAGTGTAACTGCACGGCCGTTGGTTCGTGAAGTGAATTAAAAATGAACCAATGGCTATGGTGACGAAGCCCACCAGAGCAGGCGGGGCTATCTGGCTATATAAGCGGGCATATCGCCATAGGATCCTCAGATTTCTTCTCCTTCAGCGACGACGACGATCTTCGCTGATACTACGAGACTTGAAGCTTCGCCGTGGAAACGCCTCGCAGCGGATCAAGACCCCTCTCTGCCGCCTTCAGCACCCCCAGCAGTGCTGGTCTTCTGGATCCCCTGCCGCCATCCGGCGAATTACTAAAAGAGCTTTTAAAAGAGCAAATTTAGCGGCGTTGTTGCAAATGGCGCGCCGTCTCTGTCGCTCGTGCAGGGCTCCCCTGCACACCGCTGATAGTCACGACGAGTGCATCTTATGCTTGGGGATATCCCACGCGGAGGATGCACTCAAAGAGACGGAATGTCCTCATTGTGAGGATATGAGTCTCTCCTCTCTGCGCTTGCGGTTAGCTTTCTTTCAGAAAGGAACCTGCGAGGAAAAAACAGCGGTCTCTCCTCATAGAGAGGCTTCCCCCATCCTCTTCCCCCATCCTCTTCTCCCAGCCAGACCAGCGTCACTCTGCGGCTGCGAGCGACCTGGTCTCGTTGGGTGGGAGTGAGTTTGACGCGCTGGACGACAGCATGTCGTTGTTGGCTTCAGACAATGGAGGAGCTGTTGGGCTCGACCAACGACCCCGCCGTCTGTGGAGCCCAGCGATCCCAAGCCGGGCATGGACGCCGAACTATTCCGTGTCCTGTCAAAGGCTCTCCTCCAGAAGAGCCCACTCGCAGCCGGCTGGATGAGTGGTTCTTGCTGGGGCGCCATCAGGCCCCTTGTCAACGAGCGTCACCGTTCTTCCCGGAAGTTCATGACAAACTCACCAGATCGTGGCGCGCCCCCTATTCGGCCCACCTGCGTGCCTCCTCTTCCTCCGCCCTCACGACAGTCGACGGCACCAAAGAGAAGGGGTATGACAAGATGCCTTCCCTGGACGAGTCTGTGGCCGCGCATCTCTGTCCGCCCACGGCTATCGGCTGGAAGGCAAAGGTCGCCCTCCTATTCATCTGCTGGACAGGCGGCCTCGGCGCTTCACTTTATGGTGGTCTTACAGGTCTATCAGGCCAAACTCCTCCAGAGCATGGATGAGTCCGGCCCGGACCTCGCAGCTTTTAAAGAGCTGCGCAGCGCGACCGACCTGGCTTTACGCGCCACCAAAACCACGGCCCAGGCGAAAGGCAGGTCGATGGCCAGCCTGGTGGTGTTAGAATTCCACCTGTGGCTGATGCTGACGGAGATCAAGGAAGCGGACATGGTCCCCCTTCCTGGACTCCCCGGTCTCCCCCACTAGCCTCTTCGGACCCGCGGTTGAGGGATTCGCTGAGCGCTTCACTGATGCACAGAAGTCATCCCAGGCCATGCGACACTTCCATCCGAAGCGCTCCAGCTCTACGGCTGCTCCTAGTTGCCCCCAAGTCAGCGCCGACTCAGCAGCCCGCGAAACCTGCGCCTCCAGCTGCCCAGACAGCTCCCAAACCTGAGCCTCGTCAGCGCTCCCGCTCTGCTAGGCGCTATCCGTTTCCTAAGCGTCAGGAACCCCGGCCCAAGTTAGCGCTGGACCCGGTGCCTCAGGCGTTCTCCTGATCTGCGGGACAGGAAGAGGAGGGGGCCAAGTCTCGCTGCAGCTGGACAACCCCCCAAGCAGCCTCTGTTGTGCCTCCAAGCACCCCGATCAGTTCCGGATGCCAACGGCAGTGTGTTTGTAGTCAACTCCCTTGTGTACACAGGGCCCGTTCAAAAAGCGCCCACACAACCAGCTGCTATTATAGTGGGAAAAATAAAACAAACATTTTCAAAAAGAGAGCAAATTTCCTCTTCCACTTATCACGAGTGTCTGGTCCCCACAAGGCAGCCCACCACCCGATCTTATCCAACCCCTTGCCACACGGGCCGACTGGAGTGTCAGACTGGGTTTTGGGGATAATAAAACGAGGTTATACACTTCAGTTAGCTCGAAGACCCCTGCGGTTCCGCGGTGTGGTTCAGAGCAAGGATATACACGTCCTGCGTTCCGAAGTGATCAATTTACTGGCGAAAGGAGCCGTAGAAATGGTTCCCCCAGCTCAGAGCGAGTCAGGCTTTTACAGCCGTTACTTCCTCGTCCCCAAGAAGGATGGCAGCCTCCGGCCCATCCTTGATCTGAGATATCTGAACCGCGCCCTTATGAAACGGCCGTTCAGGATGACTACTTTGAAGCAGATCCTCTCGCAAGTGTGCCAGGGGACTGGTTCTTCTCCCTGGATCTGGAAGACGCGTATTTTCACATCCAGATAGCCCCCCATCACAGACGATTCTTGAGATTTGCCTTCGAAGGAGTGGCATATCAATACACGGTCCTTCACAGATCCTTTCTCCTCAGCCACTTACAATGCCTGGGGCTCAGGATCAATTTTGCCAAGAGCACTCTGTCTCCCAACCAATGGATACCGTTCCTAGGAGCAGTTTTTGACTCGGCCCAAATGAGGGCGACAGTCACGCCAGAACGTGCACTGGCTATACAGCAGCTTGCGGCCTCCTTCAAATTAGGAGCCTCTCGCTCCCTCAAGACGTTGGGTCTCATGGCCTCTGCATCTCCGGTGCTACAGCTGGGCCTGCTTCGTATGCGGCCCCTTCAGTACTGGCTGAAACCACTAGTTCCGCCCCACGCCTGGCGTCTCGGACGCCTTCGTGACAAGGTAGACCAGGCCTGTGTGGTAGCTCTGGCCCCTTAGAAAGACTCTCAGTGGATGGAACGGGGCGTGCCCCTGGGAATGGTCTGCAGAAGGAAGGTGGTCTCGACAGACGCTTCCAACTTAGGTTGAGGAGCGCTGTGCGATGGCAAACCGGCTTTCGGCCACTGGTCGAAAGAGCAAAGTCGGCTGCAAATCAACTGCCTGGAAATGCTGGCAGTATGTTTGGGCCTTTGCACTTTCCTGCCAGACCTGAGGGGACACCACGTCCTGGTCAGATCGGACAGCATGACGGTAGTGTCATACATAAATCGCCAGGGAGGACTCTCCTCGAAGCACCTCTTTATTCTAGTAGAGCGCCTCTTGGAATGGGCTCAGATCAACTTGCATTCACTGAGAGCGGCACATGTGCCGGGCAAGTTGAACCTAGGAGCAGATATGCTATCTCGGAGCAATTTCCCCTCAGACGAGTGGATGCTCCACCTGCAAACGGTTCAGAAAATCTGGGAGATCTTTGGCGAGGAAGAGGTCGACCTCTTCGCCTCAAAAGACAACTCTCATTGGCCAACTTATTTCTTGAAGGACACGGACGCGTTGGCCCACAACTGGCCCAACCTCCTTCTTTATGCTTTTCCCCTGATCGCCCTGATCCCACAGGTAGCCCCGTTTTGGAGGAACCATTATAGGTTCGCAGAGCTGTCCCAGCTGCTGGTAGCAGCTCCATGGCCCATTCCCCTGAGGCGGGACCTCCTCTCTCAGGTGAACAGAATGATATGGCACCCCCAGCCCGAGCTGTGGGCTCTGCACCTTTGGCCTCTCGATGGGAGCCTGCGAACCTCCCCGAGAGCGTACTAAATACAATCTCTCAAGCTAGAGCTCCATCTAGGAGATG